TGACAGGTTTAAAACCATGTTTCTACAACTTGATAGAAACACAGCACAGGCCCAAGCTGTTGACATAACAAAGGAATTTACATTTTGATGATCAAAGAACACAAGTTGTTTTCTTTTTTCCTCACAGAATTTTCTGAAAGAAATGGAAAACATGTTCCCACAGAAAAACATCAATTCGCCTGTCGGCTCATGTCTCCACAGCATTTCTCCTTCTCCCAAACTTCCACTCATGTTTCTACAACTCAATAGAAACATGGTACATGTTTTCTATTTCTAAATAACTCTTGGCGCATGAACCAGCAACCACCAGGTACTGATACAAACAGATAAAAATAGTTATCTTGAATTTAGGTTTTTTTAGAGATTAAAAAAAACCTTACATCATTTTTAAAAAAAACTTACATCAGGCAGGTGGTTTCATAAAGGGCAAGACCTATAGGAAAAATTGGGAGAGGCTTGGCCCCAGATCAAGCAGCCACCATCTTTTTTCCTATGGAGGATTTGGTTAGACTTTAAATAGGTAATTTGCATGTACACAAATGATCTGATTACTCAATCTGTAGACATCTCACCTTTTTATATGTAAATCTAAAGAGGCCAAACCAAAACAAAGATGCACACAATCTTCCATTTTGAACATGTTTTAAAGCAAACACGGACCACAAAAAAGATCTTTAAGACTAAAAACTAAAAGTGCTTGGTCATGATGTCTTATCATAATGTAATTAAATTAGTCGCACAGTTTTACAATTTGGCTGGACAATGTCTGATCACTGACTGTTATTTCCAGAATTGCAATATTCCCAGAAATGCTAGAATCAGCTTTAAGCCTTTCAGTCCCAGGTACAAAATCTGAATTCTTCTCACTGACAGCCACCAGTTCTTTTAACGTCTGCTGTGAGAATTCGGTGGTACATCAAGACAATATCACTTATAATTTATAGCTAATGATTTTTTTATCCTCATCACCAGTGTTGGTATTGAGACTTGTCACTCCTGGCAGTAATTTAAAGGGTATGGGTAGGAACAAGTCAACCCATTGCGTTGAACGGGGCAGATTGTTCCCCCTATAGTTAGATGAAAAGATTCTTAAAAAAAAAGTTTTAAAATAGATCGCTTCAAGTGTAAGTTCGATCAGAATGATGAAATGTAAACAGGATAGATAAAGTAAGTTTATATGAAGATTTCATTGCAAACACGAACGAGTACTGCACCGACGATGCCTAAACTCTCACAACTATCATGGGACGTGACAGCCTAGTTCTATTGTTCGTAATATAAAGAATCCTGGCCTTGTTTCATAAGACAAGAAATTTGTTGCAAACTGGCTCTTGGT